AGCCACAGAAAGATCACATACATTATTTTCCCCAAGATAACACAATCAAACTTGCATTTACCCACATCCTCTCTTCGCAGCCTGCTTGAGATGTGTTTTAATAAATAAGTGTTTTATGTGAATGATGTAGTAATTGAAACAGGCTCCCCATTTCCCCCCTCCCTTCGTCCTGCGGGAGGTTCCGCAACCCCAATCTGCTTGGAAAATAAAACGCTTTGTCTCCACCGCCACCCCCCATCGCACCCCCACCCGCTCTCAGTGTGTGTTTTATACGTGTGTATATATACCCCCCCAGGGTAGCCAAGAGAAAGCAGCTAGCCAATGAGTGAGCCCAGTTTCATAAAAGCTGCTCTCTGATTGGCTCTATGCGAAAGGGCATTGGGAACAAAGAAAAGTCCCTTTCAGGTATACAGGCTGAGAGCTCCTTTGGCTCCACTCCCCCTGTGCGTGTGTTGTGTTTCAGTTCTGATTCCACTGTTCCAGAACAAGCTTGGTGTGTGTGTGTGCACCGGGGGGATTCCTGTGTTCTGGTTTTTGCTTTATTTTGTTGTTTTTTTATTTTTATAAAAAATACACGGGACGGTCTGTGACATTTGCTGGTCCATCTTTAATAATAAAAATTTGAAGAAATTATAATTTCCAAAATAAAGCGGCTGCAACCAAACACACTCAATGCAGTTAGAAGGAAAAGGTCAACTCGCTCCCATACAGACCGTAAGTACGGTTGCGTGGTGTGTCGCTATATAGCACTTTAGTGGGGTGTTCATGCAGGGGAATGTGCGAGTTTTATGCATTGAAATGAGGAACTAGTTACAAGGTTTGGCTTTGCATTTAGAACAACCCAAGAAGGGTGAATTTTATTCAGTGGAGGGTGAAGCATTTGTAACTTCTTTAGACAAATTAAGCTTGACTGGGCACTTGGGCTAACTTGGAGTAAATTACCTTTTGGGCTCTAACCCAAAGGAGACTAAGAGTGATTCAGTTACACACCCTGGTCCGCCGTGTCAGTTCTCTAGCGCACCTTCCCCTCCTCCCTTTTTCCTACCGGAGCC